TGTCCTTCAGTTCCATCGTGAGCCTGTCCATTTCGGCACACGATAATATTTTATGTAATATTTCTTCCTCTGTGGGAGTTTCTTTAGTCTTCCATTTTTGTGCAAATGCCAATCTAGCAGCAGTCAGAATGTGTAGCATCAAATAGACTATCCCTTTGTCATATTTCTCAATAGTTATGCCCAATAAAAAGAGTTCTGGTTTTGGCTCTATCTCCATCATTAATATTTCTTCCAACCATTTTCTTACCTTGTTCCAATAATCGCAGGCTTTAGGACATTCCCACCACATATGATAGTAGGTCCCTATTGCCAGTTTGCATTTCCAACATATGGATGAGAGATTTGGGCCCATTTTGGCTAACTTTGTGGGTGGGAAATGCCATCTGTAAAACATTTTGTAGAGGTTTTCCTTGTAGGAAGTAGCTAGGGTAATTTTTCCTATTTCTTTTCCATAATTCTTGCCAAGTTTGCAGATCAATATTGAAGCCAAAATCCCTACTCCATGTTAACATGGTTTCCTTAACCTGTTCTTCATACATTGCCTGATCTAAGAGGTAATGGTATAGACTTTTAATCATCTTATCCTCAGTTCTTAATAATATTTTATTCAGCTCTATCAACTCTGTTTTTATACCCCACTCTTTTTTGTCATTCCTGTATCTTGATTGTAATTGAAGATATGCCCACCATTCCAATTCAATCCCTTCATCTTGAAGATTTTTCCTTGATTTCAATTCCCCTCTCTCATCTAATACATTTTTGTAGGTTATTTTATTTATTTTATTTTTAAAATTTATAAGCCGCCCCACTCCCGTAGGACTCTGGGCAGCTAACAATAAAAACAACATAAAACATGACAAACGTACAATTACAGTCATCCAGGGGTCAGATTTTATAAACCCCAGGCCTGCCAGAAAAACCAGGTCTTAAGCAGCTTATGGAAAACCAACAGGGTGGGAGTGGTCCTAATCTCCAGGGGGAGCTGGTTCCAAGACGTGGGTGCCATCACAGAGAAAGCCCTCCTCCGCGGCCCTGCCAAATGGCACTGCTTGGCCGACGGGACTGAAGGAGGCCCAGCCTGTGGGATCTAACCGGACGTAGGGAACTATGAGGTAGTAGGCGGTCTCGCAAATAGCCTGGCCCATAGGGCTTTAAAGGTAATAACCAACACCTTGAATTGGACCCGGAGACCAATAGGCAACCAGTGCAGCTCACGGAGGATAGGTGTAACATGGGTGTATCGAGGAGCACCCAGTATCACTCGCGCGGCTGCATTCTGGACCAGCTGTAGTCTCCGAATACTTTTCAAGGGTAGCCCCATGTAGAGCGCGTTGCAGTAGTCCAGACGTGAGGTGACAAGGGCATGAGTGACTGTAAGGAGAGCCTCCTGGTCCAGGTAGGGTCGCAACTGGTGCAACAGATGAACTTGTGCAAAGGTCCTCCCAGCCACAGCCGTCAAATGATGTTCCAAATTCAGCTGTGGATCAAGGAGGACACCCAAGTTGCGAACCCGCTCCGAAGGGGGTATATTTTCCCCCGCAAGAGTCAACACTGGACAGTCGACATGATCCTTGGGAGACAACATCCAAAGCCACTCGGTCTTGTCAGGATTGAGCCTGAGTCTGTTAACCCCCATCCAGACCCTCACGGCTTCGAGGCAACAGCCCATCACATCGGCCGCTTCACTGAGAGAGCTCGGGGAGGAGATATATAACTGGGTATCATCAGCATACTGATGAAACCTCACCCCGTGCTGTCTGATGATCTCACCCAGAGGCTTCATATAAATGTTAAATAGGAGGGGGGAGAGGACCGACCCCTGCGGCACACCGCATTCAAGGGGCCTCGGAGTTGACCTCTGCTCTCCCACCAATACCGATTGCGACCGGCCAGAGAGGTAGGAGGAGAACCACCGTAAAACGGTGCCTCCCACTCCCACCCCTTCAAGTCGTCGCAAAAGGATACCATGATCGATGGTATCAAAAGCCGCTGAGAGGTCAAGTAGCACCAAGACAGAGGAATAACCCCTGTCTTGGGCCCGCTAGAGATCATCCATCAGCGCGACCAAAGCGGTTTCTGTGCTGAAGCCGGGCCTGAAGCCAGATTGAAAAGGGTCTAGATAATCCGCTTCATCCAGAGACCGTTGGAGCTGGAGCGCCACCACTCTCCCTACAACCTTCCCCAAAAAGGGGAGATTGGAGACTGGATGGAAGTTATTTAAGTCAGCCGGGTCCAGGGTAGGCTTCTTGAGAAGGGGCCTCACAACCGCCTCCTTCAAGGATTGCGGGAAAGACCCCTCCCTCAACGAAGCGTTGATCAACACCTGGAGCCAGCCTCGTGTCACCTCCTTGGCAGCCGAGACCAACCAGGAAGGACACGGGTCCAATAAACAAGTGGAGGCGCTCATTGTTCCCACCGCTCTGTCAACATCCTCAGTGGTCATAGACTCAAATTCATCCCATAAAACTGAGCTAAGACCTGCCCCAGTCATCTCAGAAGGCCCTACCCAATCGGAGTCTAGGTCTGTCCGAATCCGAGCGATTTTGTCTGATAGGAATTGCACAAATTCCTCCGCTCTACCCTGTAAGGGCTCCCCGGCTTCCTGAACGTTAAGTAGGGAACGGGTCACCCTAAACAGGGCGGCGGGGCAAGATTCTGCAGACGCAATAAGTGCGGAAAAATGCGAACATTTTGCCGCTCGTATCGCCACTAAATAAGTCCTAATATAGGCTCTTAGGAGTGTCCGGTCGGATTCGGAGTTACTAGCCCTCCACTGTCGCTCTAGACGTCTCTTCTGACACTTCATCTCCCGTAGCTCCTCGGTAAACCAAGGTGCCCTCCGAGATCCACAATCACGGAGAGGTCGCAAAGGCGCGATCCGGTCTAACGCCCCTGATGCCGCCTTATTCCAAGCAGCGACCAAGGACTCAGCCGGTTCGTGGAGGAGGGAATCAGGAAAACCCCCAAGCGCTATTTGGAACCCCTCCGGGTCCATTAAACGCCTGGGGCGGAACCACCTAATCGGTTCCGCCTCCCTGCGGTGGGGGAGTAGGACCGAGAAATCTAACCTCAACAGGAAGTGATGCGACCATGACAAGGGAGAAGTAACTATACCCCTTATATCAAAATCACGTCTCCACGATAGGAATACCAAGTCGAGCGTGTGTCCTCCCCTATGGGTCGTACCCTGAATTATCTGGATCAGGTCCATGGTTGTCATGGAAGCCATGAACTCCTGAGCCACACCAGAGGATTCGCCGAGTGACGGCAGATTGAAATCCCCCAGCACCATAAGCCTGGGGAATTCCACCGCCAACCCGGCTACCCCCTCCAGCAGCTCAGGCAGGGCTGTTGTCACATAGCTGGGAGGCAGGTATGTCAACAACAAACCCGACTGAACCCTTGAATCCAACCTCAAGAGAAGGGACTCACATCCAACAACCTCTGGGGCTGGGATCCTGCGAGGTCTCAAGGATTCTCGGACAAGAATTGCCACTCCCCCACCCCTTCCCTAGAGTCGCGGTTGGTGCATTATCTAAAACCCGTCTGGGCACATCTCTGAGAGAGGAACACCTCCCTCTTGGCCCAGCCAGATCTCAGTAATACATGCCAGGTCGGCCTCCTCATCTAATATCAAGTCCCAGATGAGAGGGGCTTTATTAATAACCGACCTGGCATTAAGAAGCAGCAACCTGAGGTCAGGATCCTGAACACCCCCCTCTCCAGGTATTGGAGAAGAGTCCAAGGGGTCGGAACAGGTAATTGCTTTAATGCAGCGAGTCCTTGTTCCCCGAAGATGGCCCACCCCTTGGCTCCCACCATATCTACCTCTCCCTACGATAACCGGGATGTTCTGGTGGGCCTTGTATTTCTGATCCCATAGCATAGCGTGCCATCCAATCTGCAAATCATGACCTTCCAGACTTAACAATCTCCTGTTTTTCAATTGTATCCAATCCCGCACCCATAATAAAACTATAGCCTGATAGTATTTTTCCAAATCCGGAAGACCGAGTCCACCCCTTTCCTTTGAATCTTGTAATAATTTTAATTTGATCCTTGCTTTTTTCCCTTGCCAAATAAATTTAAGTACGGTTTGATTGAAATTTCAAAAAAATTCCTTATCTAATTTAATGGGTATGCCTTGGAACAAAAATAATATTTTAGGTAGCACATTCATTTTGATTGCAGCAATTCTGTAATCTGGACTGGACTTACAGATTGAACTAAGCCATAATGTGATTTCTATGGTTTTGGCTTAGTGTAATGTGGAAACTCTGCTTTTTATGGTTTGTTTAGTGAGCCACAGTGAAAAATGTCTAAGTACAAAATATACTTCCAGCTTTAGTATTACTGATAAGCAAAGAAATTATGACCATTTCATCTTCTAAGCTAAACATGTGTAGGTGCTCATATGTAATACAATAAAAATTAATATTTATCTTTTTGGTTTCTCATGAACTTTGAACATCCTCTATAGATAAATTCTGCAAACAAAGGGCAAGAGAGCAGACAGGGAAATGTAGTTGGAAATTATCTGTTGATTTTGCCTAAACTTTCTTTTTTATGTATTTACATTTTCAGTTTTCTTACCATCATCCTAAACACAAAATAATCCTAGGAAGAGTATTGTATCTTATTTTTGTAATGTATGAACTAAACTGTGATGATCAGCAAAAAGCTGTCACAGCAGTTGTGCCTCCCTTTTACTTGGTGCCAATCTTACTGATCTTTCACTGGGCATGAATGAATGCTTGTAAGGAATGTGGAGTGCTTTGTGTTATTTCCTTTGTTGCCATTGGTGTTCATGGTTTTAATGATACCTTATTAAACTTTTGGCAGTTAACTAACAATATTATTTACTCTGAAGTGTTTTTTGTGAAAGATGAGGTCCAAATGCAGCTAAACAAATAGTCAAGTGGTGACACATTTTTCCCCCTTTCATTCGTTACTCTTATTCCTAGTGATCCTGGAGAGCTCATGTCTTCTTTTCTCCATAGGATGGTAAGGCCAAGGTTGACCATCTATGTTTGTCAAGAGTCACAACAGTTGAGAGATCAGCAGAAACACGAAGATGGGGATGCAGCCAATGGTACCTTTTTTGGTAAGGACATTGGGAAGACTGCATTCTAGTTAGTAAATGGATTGGCAGTATTTTGTAATGGGATCATCTCTTCAAGGAGATGTTGGCCCTTTGGTGATGGGAATGATGGTATAAGACACACCAGTAATCAGTTTGTAGTTTTAGTTGTAGTTCATTTTTGATTTTGTTGCTCCTAAATTTCCCACTTACGTTCATCTGCTTAATTCTAATAAGAGCCACCACCTTTAAAATATCACTGCTATTATATAGATCTGATGACAATTTTCTAGCTTCCGTATATCATAGAGATTGCAATGCCTGTTGAAAGGGATGACATATATCCAAACAGTTATTTATTTGTCAGGGAATGTGTACATTTATTTTGAATAATAGAATAAAATTATAGTAAAACCTGTTGTGGAATCTGACAAAAACGATAAATAAAAAGAAGACAGTACTGCTATTTGCTTTTTTTAAAAGCACTTTCTGCCCTCCCCCCTCCAATCCTAGTTAAGGTCCTTATTCATTCTCATTGATTCTGCAGTTTACCATGCAATCTACTTAGAAGAATTGACTGCTGTAGAGCTGACAGAAAAAATAGCCCAACTCTTCAGCATTTCCTCGCAACAAATCAGCCAAATATACAAACAAGGACCTACAGGGATACATGTACTCATCAGTGATGAGGTAAGAGTAAAGTGATAGTCTGAAGTGATTTGTAGCGGTTTAGGAATTTAACATTTAATAATAATAATTTAACAACGACAATAATAACAATAGTAAATACTGGCAGGCTCGCTCTGATTTCTTATAAAAAAGAAATGGACAATTTTCTTCATTTGCCAGATTATAAATTGCAGTAAGCTACAATGTTGTTTGTATTCATTTGGATTTTTGACATCACATGATGGGCACGCTTAATAAAATTGATATCGTGAAAAACTTGTCTACTCACCAAACAACTCACATGATAGCCATTCACAAACACTAGTTTATTAGAAAGCCAGCTAGTCTACCAGAATCCTCTCTATGATCTCAATAAGATGTTTGTGAGATCTAAAGAATTGCCTTGAACAGATATGATATTCAAAGCTATAAAAAAATTCATTCATTTCGGTTTCTAAGACGGCCCTGAAAGTGATCCAAGTAGGCTTACAAAGAGAATTTTAAAAAATCAGGATAATCAGCCAGACCAGGAAAGACAAAACTCAAAATACATAACATTATAGCAAGTTCTTTTTTTTTGTAAATTTTCTATTAATTTTTTCCATATAATTCAATAGTACTTATTCAACAATGTGTTGTCTGAGTTTATCATTCACTAATACAATTTTAATTCCTAATCCTTTATTCTTTTCTCCAGCCATTGATAAAATAAGTCCCAAGTCTGATAGTAATTTGTTTCTTCTTTTTCTTTCAACCACATAGTAAGTCTGTCCATTTCCGCACATTCTAGTATTTTTTTAATTATTTCTTCCTCTGATGGTATTTCTTCATTTTTCCATTATTGCGTGGTAAGAATCATATTTGCACAAATCATCTTTTGCAGACCCTCTAGGAAATCCCAGATTTTTAAGACCCCTCTAAATGACAGCAGTCAGATGGGTCATATGGATCTGAAGAGCTGTGCAACATGTTAGCTTGTTACTTAACTTTTAAAAAAAACAAACACAAGTCTTTAAAAAAAACAAGTCAGGTACACTGAGGAACCTAGTGGACAGTAGAAGAGATATCTGAGATACACATTGGTATCCATAGAACTACCTCTGGCTCAGCATTTTGTATAATTACAAAGGCAGCTTTCTTAAGCAAACTTTGGTATTAGTCAAATACATGGATTCAGCTCTTGAGCTGAATTGCAAGGACCCTCCTGAAAGGGTTAGAATTTCAAGTTAGTTGATTTGGGGTCTACTGTTCATGTGTCCGTTGATTCTCCTGGTTTTTCTACTATTGAAGAAAATAGTACCTGAATCTAAGCCATCTATCTGATTAAGTTAGATTGAAAAATAAAACCGACCATTATAGAGCATGTGCTTTTTAAAAAGTTGACCGTGTACAGGTGGTCCTCTCTTACCAACTGCTTGTTTAACAACCATGTGAACGTAACAGTGGTGCTGAAAAAGGAGAAGTATGACCTATCCTTGAACTTGCAGCCACTGCAACGTCCCTGCAGTCACATGATTACAACTTGGGCGCATGGTAACTGGCAACCATAGTCAGGTGATCACCATTTGCAACCTTCACAGCTGGCTTCTGGTCAGTAGAAAGCCAGTAGGAAGTCACGAGTCATGGTCATGTGATGTCATACTTGATGTTGTAAATCCAGTGTGGTCAAATGATCTCTCACTTTAAGGCTGCATTGCTTAGCAATGGAATGGCCGGACCCAATTGTTGATGGTAAGTCAGTCCTTTATATTGCTTTCTCTCTGAGGAATCTCAAGAGTTTCTTCTTCATACATTTGCTTTTTTAAAAAATCCATATTAAAAATTCATGCACATTTTTATTCTCTTACTTATTGGATTTTTGTACTAATATTCCCATATTTTTAAGGGAATTTGGAATACTGTAATGCAAACACTTCCAGAGATGTATGGATTAAGCACTTTCTCAGTTTTCATTCTCGATTCTACCTAGGCTTGCAAGATCTACATTGTCTTTTTATTAGAACCTGCAATCCATCAGACTAGAATATCTACTGTGTAGAAAACACAAACTTTTAAAATTATGTATCTTCACATGTTTGGTAATTGATAATTAGGTATGCATGTATTGTATTATGCAGATCTGCAGCATTTAGGCATGGATCCAGAGATCAGCATTTTACAAATTACAATTTTTGTGAGTCACTGCTTATCAGTACAATAAAAGCCTTTTTCCTGGCTAAATGACTGCTAAGAATTAAAGAAGTATGGACAATATTTAGAACTTTAACTTGGAAAAAAAAGCCATCTTTTCATGTTCTGTAGTTTCTTGCATCTAGTAAAACACATTGCAATATAAACAGATATTTTACACAGTGCTGATTTCTTCATCCAAGTAACATGCTTCCCTGCCTAATCATTGCATGCTTCCATTTATTCTGTTTTTGTAGCTTTTCACTTTTTTAAGTCAATGCTTTTTCCCAATGTTTTACCATGAGACAGTTTTCACTGTATCTTCAGAATAGGATTAGAATTTAAAAGCTTACAGCTTTGTAGTCCTCTGGTTTTTTTGTGCTTTAGCTCAGTGGCTCTATCCTTTTTGAACGAATCGCCCCCTTGAGCCAATGAGGAAGTTGTCATCGCCCCCCCCTACCCCAACATAACATAGGAAATAATTCTTCAATTTATGCAAACACTTTTTTTGTTTTCTTTAAAACTGTCATCAGGACATATCAATGCAAATAATTTATTTTCAGTCTTTTTCCCATATCTCAACTGTTTGAAAAATTTTGGTGCCACCCATCACTTTATTACCAAACTTCGTGATACATGTATTTCATTATTATCTTATTTATTCAAGACACTTAAATGTAATGACCAGTGAAAACAAAATTCAATTGCAAGAAAGTGAATGCCCGAAAAGAAAAACAGTAACATTTAATGATTGAATTACAAGTGAAATTTAAGACGCAAAAAGAAATATAAAAAGGGTAGAGGCTGCTGCACAATGCACATGAAGATAAGTGATGCGTATTCACATATGTACGGCATTCTGTACTGAAGCTAGCTGGAGGAACATTTGAAATCACAATTCAATCCACTAATAGTGAGTGATCTGATGTTTTTGTACAACAGATACGCAGCGATTCACTGTACGAAATAGTCTCAAAAGTGTCCCCAAAACTTCTCGCTCTATCACCCCATATCTCCCCCTTTTCGTTCCTTCACCCCCACGTCGCCCCTTTTCATTCCATTGCCCCCCTGAAAAACAAAATCGCCCCCTGGGGGGCGATATCGCCCAGGTTAAGAACCACTGCTTTAGCTTAATTGGAGGAAAGAAAGTCACAGCACATATAAGAAGCCAGATTGGTTTGGAATCCTAAATCATCCCAGAAATAATTATAAATAATCTAAAGAAAAATTTAGCCAATTTAGCAAAATCCAGATCCTCTCTTAAAAAAACCACCCCTTGAACTTTAGAGAGTGGAAATTAAGATGATTGGTAGATGGGAGTTTTCCTGCCTTGGAGATAACCAAACTGTTTTGCAAAAGGGTCAGCGTGTAGTTCTCGGTACATACTTGCCTTTCCTTGTATTTCATCTATAAGGGATGATGAATGTTTATTAGCTATTGACAAAGTACATTAATATACAATATGTGCTGCTTAAGATGGACACAATGAATAGCGGCTTGATTTTTCCAGGCTCTTTTTATTCCTATTTTAGATGATACAGAACTTTCAAGATGAATCGTGTTTCGTCTTGGACACAATGAAAGGTACTCATTTATTCAGGGCATAGTCATGCATGTTACTCTGTTTTTTATTTTTTTCTGAAAAACGTACAAATCCTACTCTCCCCCCTCCTCTTCCCCATAAACCCAAACCAAATCAGCATTGCATGGAGATTAGTGTACTATGTGTAAGCTTCTGTCTTTCAAATGGGAGGTGGGTGAGGAATAATAATGGGATTCTACTTGTGTTCATCCAGGGTCTGATGATGTGCTTCCTTTGCAGCTGAAACCAATGATAGCTACCACATCATCTTAAAGTAGATAAGGACTCAATCTTCTTGCATCTGCTCTGCATATACAGCTTCATTGTCAAGTTTGGCAACTGGACACCAGCACAGACCCATTTTGCTACCACAACTTGTTTTCGCCTATTAGGTGAACCGTGTGGAATATACCACTACTGGCATGAAGTAGATACCAGTCATAAGCACAGAGCTGCTTATTTCTAGCTCAGTGACATTAGTATACTTGTTTGCTAATTAAAATTGCCAGACTATCCAGTGATGGAACTTTGTAATTATATGTAATACAAAGAGGGTTGTGTGAGGCTTCTGCAGACAACAACCCTAGTACTTCAATAGACTAAACCTTGTTGTTCTGATGGATATCTGGGCACCCTAGGAATTGTGTGTCCTTTCTAGGGAAACTCTTGAAGGTCTATACCACTTCGTTGATTCTGACAAGCCTGGATTGAAAAAACACTCCTGTTTTTTTAATTGAAAAAACACTCAAGTTCTGACTTTTTCAGAATTTGTTTGAGATACAAAAATCTGTGTATCAAAAGGTGCTCTTATACATAACTATGTGAGTGATTTCTTGTACTAGTACAAGTTAGGAGAAAGCTGTGAGTTTATGAACTCCGTCTACTTGGGCCGTTACCTAACACTCTTGTTAAAGAGGGTTCAGAGGCAGAAAAAAATAAAAAGAAATGATGAAATCAGTATCCAGGGCTTTCTTCTGTTTACTTAAAGAACTCCCAAGGAAGAGAGAAAAGACTGTGTTAAAAACAGCAAGAATATATTGGAATGATTTATGTGAGATGATGTTGAACTGATGCAGACTTTGGAATGAAATCCTACTGGAATTCACTGTCCAAGAGTAGATTCAAAAGCAAGAATTTTATAATGCTTTTTGAAAAGCTTTGAATACTCCATGGTGATAAAGTCCCTGAATCTTTGTTTCCAGGGCAGCAACCAGTCTCTTACTAAAAAGGTCTCCACATTTTGAAATGAATGCATTTTTTGAGTCTTGGAGGGAAAGAAGGGGAAACTATTTTAGCTACAGGAAATAATGTCCCCAAATTATAAGTGGACAGCAAGTCTAAGGAACAACGCCAGATTCTCCGTGACCTTTCCAGTGCCCCTAGCAAAATGAAAAATCTCTGCAAGCTGTAGTTTCATATTCCAGAGGGTAATGTGCTCTTGCCTAAGCTAGGTTCCCTAATCAGTGGACAGAGGCCAGGAAGCTGATATAGGCTGACATTAACCTAAAGCTGAGAGTTTGAGAAAAGGACTTGCATTTTATTAAGTGGAAACCAAGTTATCTGTTTCCTAAGGATATCAGACTATTTGAGAAGTTTTTCACTTTAAATGAGTTTCATAAAAAAAAAAGAGAAATACACTTTAAAAAGATCTTGTACAGTAGCTTTACCATTTTTAAATAGAATCTAAGAGTTCATACCTGATGCATTGAAAAAAAAATCAGCTTTTTCAGATTGCCTTTGAAGCTCTTATTTATATTATGACATACTCCCTGTTCCATCTCCCAGAATGGTTACCAACCTTAATTAGGATATTGTTTGCTTTAATTCTGTACCTGAAACTCATGTGATCCATCAGGATGCTTGAGCCGACTGGGTATAGTGATGAAGCTAAATTAATGGTGACCTACAGACTTCCATTATTCCTAATAATGGATTGTGTGCATAGACATAGTGATAGCAGGGTTAAGAGTTGATTGATAGAGTCCCCAGATCAGTCTTTGAGGAAATGTCTTGCACTATGACAAGGCTTGTAGTGTTCCTAGTTGTATGGTATGTGTTCATAAGACAACAACTTGGCTTTCTGATTTCAGTACAGTAAAATGTCGCTTATTAGAACATGAGCAAATCTGGTCACTTGTTATTGTCTTTCCTTTTCTCCATAGTGTATCCAACTTCAGAGGAAATAGCTTTGCATCTTAAGCCAAAGTTTCCCAGTGCAGAGGTCACAGGAAACTGTGTCTCAACCCTTTTTATATCAAGCTGTAAAACTAGAATCAAATTGACATGATTTTTGAATCAACCATCATCCTTCGTACTGTCAAGTATGTCTGTCTGTCTGTCTGTCTGTCAAGCAGTACATACAATACATAAATGACAGCTTATTTTTTCTTCCTTTCTCAAACTGTGTTCAATCACTTTGGGATATTTTTTTTATCCTAAGAGCATGTATGAGAGTGTTTGCCATTCTTCCTGGAACTGTAATGATTTGTTATGTGTTTGTTTTCAGTAAACCATTGAATGAAACAATGAACTATAAAACATGGCTGTGGAATTCTTTATTTTGAATTCTGTTGTGGAATCTTTATTTTGAATTCTGTTGTGGAACCTTTTATTTAAATTGTGGATAATTGCAGACCAGTAAAGAAAAAGAAGCTGCACAGTAGACTGAAATTGTATTTAAGTGTTCTACTTGGGGAAAATAGATTGTGTATAAGAATGAGACCCAGTGTAGTGTATAGGTCAGGGGTGTCAAACTACGGGCCCACGGGCTGGATGCATCATAGCGAAACTGCGCCTACCCCCATTGCCAGCAATAGCAAAAAAAAGTCAGGTTAAGTCGCGACACATCACGTGACATTGCAAGTTTGACACCCCTGGTATAGGTGCTGGGAAACCATGCATTTTAGTTCTCACTTAGGCTTTGAAGTGGGCTGTCTGGCCAGTCATTCTCTCTCAGTCTTGGATTGAAAAGTTAAAAAACATCTCTCAATCCACCAATGGACCAGTATGGTGAACTACACTCCATAACCTTCAGTGAGTAGACTTCAGCCTTTCATCCTGCAACGGACTATTTCATGCAAAATACACACACACAAATACACATATATATGAGAGGGAAAGGGGGGGATGGTTTAGGGGAAAAGGTGTATTTTTATTGTTTTCTCTAACCATGAAACAAATATGTCATTCTTGTTTTACACTTTACTTCATTATAATTTTAGTTTCTGGTGTGCAAGAACATATTCGCCTCTAGTGTGCTTCCATGGTCATAGGATTATATTATACCCATATTCAGGTGGGATTGTTCAATATGTGAGGAATAAATACAGGTAATTATTCCCAGGACCCCTAAACACCAAACACTTTTCTTTAAAAAAAATAAATAAGTGGATAAAGATGCCCTTTTTTGTCGCTGTTTTACATATGCTTAGTAAATAAATAACCCAATTTGCTTGCCTAGTAGCAACCCAGTTGTTAGTTAAGGCAAGAAATACCCTTCAGAGTCACTGCTTTGCTGATCCATCAGAAGACTGTTGGGAAGTTAAATTATCTGATGTGTGGAACATTAACTGTCAAGTACAAAGCAGATGCAAAGTCAAAAATTTCTTCAGAAAATATTTTCCTCATGTTTTCATTTACTTCAAAATAAATCAGAGCAACTGGGCAGTTTTCTTTCACCTTGTGAAGGTGTTCTGAACAGTATTTCCTTGACAGGCACTTTTTAAGAAATTATCCTTTGATCCAGGACTGTAGGACAGGTGGAGAGGAGCTGTTTTCCTTGGGACTGCCCACATTGGAAAACTGCTGTGCATAATTTTGGAGGCAATTTTAAGAGTAGAGATGGAAATGTAAGTATTATTGAAGCAAAGCTGTTCCCAAATCCAAAATAAATGGAAAAATAGGCTGAAAGGATTTGGTCTTCCCTGGTTGAAACTTATCAGAAAATCTTACATGGTTTTCCAGAAGGTAGGATTGTAGCTACTGAGTCACTAGACCAGGGGTGTCAAACTCAATTTCATTGAGGGCCGCCTTAGCATTGCGGTTGCCCTTGGGGGGCCGGGTGGGTGTGGTCAGGGTGGGTGCAGCCTACTGGGTGGGCATGGCCTACTGGGTGGGCATGCCCAGCTCTGTATCGTTCGCGTCAAGGGTGCCTGTGGAGGCCTGGGCAGGAGTGGGACAGATCTGAGGGTCTCTGGCAGAAGGGGATGGGACCAGGGCAAGCGCCAAGGCATGGTCCATTTCTTCATTCCTCACAAAGGGTGACACTTCCCCAGCATGCACCCAGGGGGCGGGGCCGACGCGGCAGGAGCTGTTTCCTCGCTGTTTGTATACGGCCTTGTGGAGCTAAGACTGAATGCGTTTCAACATAGATGGCCACCACAAAATTGTACATTGGCTCCTGGCCGGTCTGGGCCAGGGCCAAGGCAGTGGGAGCCATTCCCTCACTGTTTCCAGGATGGCTTCGCGGGCCACATGAAACTACTTTGCGGGCCACATACGGCCCCCGGGCCTTGTGTTTGACATGTCTGCACTAGACGTTGTTTTCCGTCTATTAAGCCAATGAAAGAATTGTATACCAGCCTAGCATTTTTAAATTTTAGTTACAATTTAATCCATCCTAAAATTAAGTGCCTTTGACTTTAATAGGCCCTACATTCACATTCCAGAGTACTCTTTGGAATCAAAACTCAAACTGCACAGTTCTGATATTTAGTTTTTTACCGGTTCATTTCACTTTTATCCCCAACGTACTCTTAGATTTCTTTAATTTTGTCTACAAGCCTAATTAAGCTGTTTAGAAATTAGAAGAAAGGTAATTCCCAAATATTTCAACTACTACGTTTTGTGTATGTGTGCAATGTTAGAAACAATGAAGGTTTACCTAAATCATTGGCATAAGTTGAAATACATTGAGGATAAGGTTGAAAAGAAAAGTGAGGGAGAACAAGCAGAACAAACATGTTGTGTACCAGTTGAATTTTGTGATAAACATTCTGTACTGTATTCCATTTTCAAAATGCACAACTGATCCTAAATATCTTTTCATACAACTGGATGATTCATTTTGGATACATAATGATTTTAGCAAGGCAAACACAATTCTAGCAATTTTAGCAGAAATCTATTTTTTCATGATTTTTTTTTTTAAAAAAAACATTTTTAACATGAGGGAAGGAGACATTTTGTGCAGGAGAGTACTTAAGATAGAAATATAGATCAGCTGTTGCAAAATGAAACGCTAGAGATATAAGGGCAAGCAGTAGTAATCTCTAACATGAAAGTAACCTCTGCAGCATTTGTGGAAATACGGGCATTTAACTGTACTAAATAACTATGGCTCAGAATGTATTTCTCACTGTGAAAACATTCTGAATTAAGAGTATAGAGGAGACCAGCAGGAGATCTGCCTATTAGGAGACAATGTGTGCATATTCATTAGTAATATATTCAGACAAAAAAAATCCACACTGTGTTCTGTGAAGCAATTGTAGGAGGTTATCTGTACACCTTAAAATCTTAGCAATATCACAGGACGTCATTGCCAGGGTTAGTTAAGCCATATATGCATTACTTTATTGTGCAGTTGCAGGCCTAAAATGTTTTACTAAATGGCCAAAAAGATGCTATAATTTTTCTTCTATTGTAAAACACCTACTAGGACTACTGACCAAAAGTACTGATTTGCTTAATAGACAGGGGTTTCAGTTAAAAATAAGAGCTTTATATCAGATGTGAATACACATCATAGTGGTAGCAGGTAATAAGTTAAACAATATAAACTGGCCTTTCCCATGGCTTTTGACCATGCTGGTTTGGAGTGAGCAAGTTGTGTTCTGGCATCTCTGAAAAGCATAGATTGGGGGAGGATGGTATACAGTAAATGGTAATTGAGAACTCTATTAATGGTGCTACCTAGTCAAAATCTGATTTTGTTTAATCATTAAGCATTCCAACTATAGACGCTTCATAATTGTAATAGTAAGATGCATATTGCTGATTCTAGACCTCCTGGCAATCTTCTGAAGCTTAATTTCTGACTATTTTTTGCCCAGATTCTTAATTTATCCATATCTAAACTCTTGGGATGAAATCAATTTAATTTACATATTAGAAATTACAAGTATTATGCTGAGAATGCTGACAATAAATAGTGATATGAACCAAATCCTACTATGAAGGATATGTTTTGGTTCATTTTTAAAAAAACAACTATTTAACAGACTCATTACATGCTGGGAACACTTGTATTCTTCCATAATGATAGATAATGCTGAAGGTCTGAGTTTTCCTATTTGTTAGTTTATTTTTATGCTCTTGATTTCATTCTTTTTGTAATTTTCAAAGAATGTTGGCCTTCCAAAAGAGTTTGAAGACTTGGTTATGCCAATTGGCCTGGGGCCCCATAATAGGCATGTCATACTGGAAATGGTTAATGGACTGAGATAAGATCCCGCCTCTTCTCCGTGTGCATCTTGCTCCCTTTGTTGCCATCTTTGTTAATTCTTAAATCAATTTTAGTGTTAATATTTATTGTTTTAATGTTTTATCCCAGTTTTTTATTACGTTTTTATAGTTACAAATCTTTAGTGCTTAATAAACGTGTTATCTGGGTGAACATATTTAACATTAATAGTAATAGAACTTCCATTTCTACTCTCTACTCCATTTTTCCAGCCATTTATAAAAATTATCCCGTGTTTGGAAATATTCTGTGTCTTCTTTCCCTTTCATTTTCAATATGATCCTGTCCATTTCCGCACAATCTAAAATTTTCCTAATTATGTCTTCTTCCAGTGGTGTTTCTTCGTTTTTCCAGTACTGTGCAAATGCAATTCTCAATGTTTTTAATACATGTAATATTAAATATATACATTTTTGTCATAGGTCTCTGTAATTATACCTAAAAATAATAATTCTGGCTTAAAATCTACATGTTTTCTTAACATTTTCTGTAACCAGATGTGTATTTTTGACCAAAATTTGTTTTATCCTATTTTTATTGGTTGTAAGCTACCTAGAGTTGCCTCTACATGAGACGGATAGCATATAAATTTAACAAATAAGATAAATATAAAAGGGGCATGATCTTAAAAACAAAAAAAGAAAACAGACTGTGATTTACTTTGTCATGTAGCCTAAGCTATTTAGTACTAAGCCATTATTAACATATGAATATGACATTTAATATCTATGTCACATTTAAGTACATCTGCACTTATTTTTGGATGGCATTAATTTTATCCTACATTCTGGTGATGTCCAGAAAGATTGGTTACAAAGTAAAAGCAATTTGTGACTCAGATTATTAAGTCCAAAACAGATATTTCTTACCATATGGAAACTGACTACGGTATTTCTCCTTCAAGTATCTGTTTTATTAGGTAGGGCTGAATTTTATACTTGTTCAATTTGCCAATAGGCATGTTTCTCCAAATGTATTTTCCTTTCTTGCCACTCCATCCAGTGGTGAGCAAAAGTATTGCAGTATTTAAGATCTGGGCACTGACTGCATACAGTGAAAATGCTGTATTTTTCTT